GGAAGGAAGGTAAGTGTCTGTGAATTGATGATATCAAAGTGAGGACCAGTTAGGACTGTTACCAAGATAACATCACTGTGATAACCTGCCTTCAGTCATCAGGCTTCCTAATAAATTATGGCAAATCAACACTCGCCAGCCCAAACAATCCAGTTCATCGGAGCTCAGCTCAATTCGATCACAGCCAGAGCCTCTCTACCAACAGACAGATTGTGAGGACCAGTTAGGACTGTTACCAAGATAACATCACTGTGATAACCTGCCTTCAGTCATCAGGCTTCCTAATAAATTATGGCAAATCAACACTCGCCAGCCCAAACAATCCAGTTCATCGGAGCTCAGCTCAATTCGATCACAGCCAGAGCCTCTCTACCAACAGACAGATTCACTCACATCAGTCAACTCGCAGAATCGCTCCAAGAGATGCCAGTAGTAAGGGTTTACGACCGCCTTCAACTGTTAGGTCACATGCCATCATGCAATCCTGTGGTCCCAAATGCACATCTCTTTATGAGATGCCTCCAAGGTTGGCTCCCACCCCCAGGGATGCCTGTCGACGAAGAAAAGGAGGTTACTCACCTTCCTGTAACTGACGTTCTTTGAGATTAGTGTCCCTGGGGGTGCTCTACTACCCTCCCTTCTTCTCCTCTACTTCGGAATGCCCCTATGATAACTTCTTAATATATTATTTGCCGGGTTTTGGATAGAGAAGCGAACTGAAGGGATAGCACTGAGGGAGGCTTGCGCGCACCGCGCATGCGTGTCCCCCGATACATTACTCAGAAAAATCCGTCAAGAAGCGCTGGGCCACTCAACACCTGATGTGGAGCACCACAGGGACGCTCATCTCGAAGAACGTCAGTTACAGGAAGGTGAGTAACCTCTTTTTGTTCAGCTAGTAAAAAGGGTGAGTAGGAAGATGAATCGGTAACCAGATGAGTAAAACAAATTTTCCATGAAGCAATTTTGTACAACTACATATTCTTCTTTATTTGAGATTATTACTTGAACGATGAGGAAGAATTCCCAAGTAACTTTGCCAGATCATTAAAATAATCTGCCAACCCAGTTTATGGAAGGGTGTTCCATAATGCTTTGATATGTCCATTTTCAATGTAAAGATGAAGAATTTGGAAGTTTATTGTTATGAAAGCTATTGGAAAAGTTATTGCATCTGGTGAAATCAAGTTTTGCTTCTTGTTAGGAACAACCCCACAGCTAACAATGATTAAATTGACTGATGAGTTAGTAATAATAGTCTTTTTCTGAACCACTGTTGTTGAGAAGACAGATGCAGGTCCCCAGTAAAAAATATCCTGGGACAAATTGTAACCAGGGTGGTGATATAATACAGAGTTTGAGATACCAACAGTAGTAAGTCCTAAATGGTATCCAAACTTCAGATGATTATTTAGAACAAAAAAGAAGATTGCGCAAGAAAACTTAACTCAAACTAATTTTTTTTCCCTTCATGAATGCTTTATCTTGTTTTCCTCACAAATGTGATTACTCTTCATTTTCTTACTCATGGACAGTTTTGCATAAGCTATTAAACATCCAAACCCTTAAAAGCTTAGTAGTCTTTTATCAAGCTTAAAAAATTCTTTTGCTCCCAACAGGTCACACCCATATATAAAGTGTACCCATATCATAAGGTATATTCACATAATAAGCAATATAATAAAAATGTTGCCAAGGAAGGGAAACTAGAAAATAGAAAATAATTTGAGGATTGCTGGTTATCGTCTTAGACATACAGAGAAACATACGTATTCATATGCGCACAAACTGTTTATATTGTGTATTTGTGGTACATGCATATTTCTGATGTGTACAATTGACAAATTCTAGGTTGAAAACAGTAATAGAAGAATTGGTTCAGACACAGCGGACACTTTTGAACAAAGAGGAGCTTGTGTTGGAACTAGAAAAGAAAATAGAAGAATCTTCCACGACCTGTGGGAAAAAATCAGAGTAAGTGTGTCAGAAATATTGGAAGATGAAAATTTTAAAGAAAAAAGTTGTTCGTGTTGTCATGCAGTTCTTCTTTGGGTGACTTATGCATATCTGTTCCACTTCACATTTGTGTGAACCCAGTGCCCTAAGGGATTTTTTTGCCTTAACGTTAACTGTTATGGTGGCACATTAGCCTTACGTTTACTCATGCTATGGAGTGCTGCCCTGGCACTCCTCCTTCCCCCACATTCTTTCTTACCAGCTGTAATTGGAGTATGCCAGCTTCTTTATCCAAGTTTCTGGTCCCCCCCCCCCATTTTTTTTCTGTCTATTTGTATCTAATTAAATAGTGTGGGTGTGTATGGCTGGTCTTGCTTGGTGCCACTCATTATTATAGTTAGTCTTCGCTCTCTTTTTCTTTTCTCGGTTTTCTGACGTAGAGTCAGTCTTAGTGCAAGTGCTGATGTTCACTCTTGGGCATGCCTCAATCCCCAGGCTTTAAAGTTTTGTGCAGCTGCAAGAAATCTATCCTGGTGAGTGACCCTAACTGTAAGTGTCTGGGTGAGGGCCACATTCAAGAGTATGGCCTGATCTATAGAGATTTCAAGCCCTGTATAGTAAACAGGGAAGTGACACCACATTGATGCTGTGATGGTGGATCATCCGGCATTTGATATAATGGGTCTAGTGAAGATCTGCTACAGTGAACACTGAGGGGACCCTCTTAGGTGCCGATATTCCTCCCCCCCATGCAAGGAGTAAGGGAAGTCGATGGGAATGTTTCTCCCATTTGTTTCCTACTGTGAGGACAGTGCTGAAGCTCGGCTTATGGTATATTGATGTCAGTTATGTTTTTTATGTAGCTGGAATTGCATACCTTAAACTGACCTTCCCCCATAGTGTGGACCTGGATGCACCACATTTTTACAGTAAAGACTGAACCTTTCTAGTCTGGCATTCTCTGGTCCGGCAACATCCATGCTCCGGCAAGATTCTCGTGGTCCCATAAAGTTTGTTTACAGCTGCCAGTCCTGGCTCTCAGTGTCCTGTGCTGTTGTTTGGGTCTAATTTACTCCAAATGGCTTCTTAGAGCCCAGCAAGCAGAGGAAGTATTGGTAATGCAGATGGGCAATATTGAGCTCCTGTGGTCAAGCAAAATTTCTGGTTCAGCATCGGTCAGGTCCCAGGGGTGCTGGACTATAAAGATTCAACCTGTAGTACTATAAAATAAATGTTTAGTGGTGCTTCTCAACTCTGTATTGGTCAGGATATTCTTGCCACAAGCCAGGTTCCAGCTGATGCTATATATTTGTGTGTATCTTAAAGCCCAGGTACTCACAGTATAGGTTGAACTTCTGTTAACTGTGAGTGGTCTGGCAACATCTATGGTCCAGCATAGATGTTGCAGAACCAGTGTCTCGGTGGAGGGGTGGTGGCCAGAAGCCCTTCAGGCTGGGAAGCACGGCAGCGAGGCTGTGTGGTGAGGCCGGGAAGCCCAGCATGTGGCACTGGGGCCATCAGCATGCGGCAAGGGGCAGCTAGTCTCCGGCCGATAACAAAAGCTGGGTTGGGAGGGGGCAAATGGCAGTGGGGAACAGGAAGACCTCCTCTGGTTCAGCAAAATCCTGCATCTGGGGCTAGTCAGACGCCAAGGGTGTGAAGGACCAGGTAGGTCCAGCCTGTAGTAAGAACATGTCTAAAATTTCTGGGGCACGTGGGCTTCATGTACGTGACCCAGCATGCCAGACTTAATTTCAGTTGCAGAGCTGGATGAAGTTAGTTTATTCTTCATCTCATCTGTTGGACACATTAATTCATGTACCTGCTGAAGTCATAACCTTAGTAGATTGATGGAAGGATGTGCATGCAAGTTCACTTTCTCTCTCTTTTTCCCACAACTATAGTGATGAATGTTTCATATATTGGTTGAGGGGCTCTCCTAGGGAGCATACATGTCCAAAGACTGTGGATGGATCAAGCTTTTACCCTACACATAAATGTACAAGAGTTGTAGGCAGTTTGCCTGGCATTTCAGGTATTTCCAAAGATAGTCCTGTTAACTATTTGATTGAACAAAAAATGTAGCTTGTTTTGTTCTAGGGACTGGCAGTCAGGTTCTTTGCCCTTTTCTTCTGTCATGAAGGGCATAGCTGCTATATGGGTTAGGTAAGATCAAGCAGGACGGAGTTCTAATAGTCCTCATGAAGCTCGTCCTGGCCTTATCAGCATTGGTTCTTTAGTCTTCTAAATCAGGAACTGAATGTTTCAACAAGGAACCTGACTCATCACAGAACCACAATTGGAAGATACGTCCCAACCCATGCACCCTTCATCTTCAGGTGTAGTTCCTCAGTGGCTAACCTTTCAAGAGGATGAGTACTATGTGGATGTCAACATCCTTCTAAACAGTGGAAACTTGTCCACTAAATATGCTTTCCTAATGAAGTGGAAGAGTTCCTCCAGCAGATGTGCTGATCCTGTTTTCTATCCAGCATATCCTGAATTATTTGCTTCCCTGCAAGCATCAACACCTCTAAGTTCCCTTACCATTCATGGACAGCTATCTCTCCATATTGTACCTACCAGCAGAGGTGGATCCATGTTTTCTAACCCTAAGACTATTGAATATTTATAGGGTATAGGCAAGCAGTACCCTGATGTTGGATATCCTGTTCCCATCTGTGAAGGTAGCCTTTTTGGTGGCCATTACGTCTGTGAGGTGGATGGCACAGTTATATGCCCTGGTTGTTGATCCTCCATACATGTTGTTTTTTTATAAGGACACATCCTCATCCAAATTTCTTGACTAAAAAGTTATTACCTCAGTCAAGCCCATATACTTAACCACCTGTGACGATGCAGCCGGGGTTCCCCTGACACTGCATCCCCATAGCAGCAAGAACAGACTCCACCAATTGGTAGAATAGAGGTTAGTCTATAAGGTATCACAGGACTCCTTGCCACTTTTGCACCGCTCTTGCAGATTCAGACTAACACAGCCCACCTCTCTGATACTAGACTTCAAAGAGAAACTGCAGAGCTACAATTCATTTGCAAATTTGATACTATCAGTTTAGGAATAAACAAAGACTGTGAATGGCTAGCCAGCTACAAAAGCAGTTTCTCCTCTCCTGGTGTTCACACCTCCACATCAGCTGCTAGAAGTGGGCCTCATCCTCCCTGACTGAATTGACCTCATTATCTCTAGCCTTACTCTTGATTGGAACTCTTCTTATGCCTGTATATTTATACCTGCCTCTGGAATTTCCACTACATGCATCTTACGAAGTGGGTCTTTGCCCACAAAAGCTTATGCTCCGATAAATCTGTTAGTCTACTATCCCAAAATATTCCCAATAGAACTATTGGCTGCCAGTTTTTAAGTGTAAAAACTGAGAGTTGAGCTGTATTCTTTAAGAACTATTTCTAATTGTCAGTAATGTCCATAAATAGAATCCCTGATTGTTAGTGTATATGCATCCAGGTAGCAAAGCAGAAATCAATCCAGATCCTCCGTTCTGCTTAACAGATCTCATTGTACAGTATGGCTGTGAAAAGGAATTTCCTGAGCAACACTACTGGGGTGTAATTTGTTTTGCTCTGTCTCCACATTTGGAGCTCAGTAGGGTATGTTCTTTACTCAAGGCATCTTATTCCAAATACTGAGCATTAAAGTAGTTCACTGAATATTATACAGAATATTCATAGCCTGTAATACTAAATAATTTTATAAATAAAGCAAATCAGTCATAAAAATCAGCCATTTTTGTATGTTAAGCTAAATGGACTCATCAGCTCTCTTTAAGTTCTGATTATAGAGCTTTGAACATCTACTTTGAAATTTAAGTTTTAAGAACTGATAAATAGAATTAGAGTTGTACTTAGATCCCTTTCCCCCATTGTTTCCATCCTCAGACAAAATTAAATGACTCTGATAGACAGATACCATTATTTTATAACAAGAGTGAACTTGGGTATAATAGCTCAGATATTAATCTTAATGAATAAACAATGAACAAATAATACTCCTGCCTTACAATGAGTTCTGAGAGGACTGAAGGTAGTTGTCTTAATGCATTAGATATTATTTCAATATTATCAAAAGCTTTAGATGTTTGCCTTTTCTGCTGCTTTCCACCACTCTAATTTCCAGTTAGCTAAGTTCCGCTACTTGAATGAGATCCTTCTACTTCTGGTGAATCTGAGTGAATGCATTTTACTATCTTTTATTTTCATCAGAGGATCTTAACAGAGTTTCTGAAGAGTTCAAGCAGTGTTGTTTTATCTACATAGATTTAAATTCAGTGTATTCACCATTTGGTTGTAATTTGTATTTCTGTTTTTATTTATTACTAATAAATTACATACTAAATGCTGTAGAAACGTAGATGAAAGTGTTTACCCCAAGAGCTTACAATCTTAACCAAATACCTCCCAGATGTTCCTTCTCTGATCTTCATACCTCAGTGTGTCATGCTAGCCCAGCTTATATGTATGTGCACATAAAAAATGAACAAGTATCAGAAAAAGAGATAATAAAATCTTTGCTCACTAGCCAAAATTATAATGCACGTTTTAGGATTTCCATGATTGAGTATACCTCTGCTCCCCCTTCCCCCCATGCATGCTACATGAGATGAGAAATACTAGATTTGGTGGATTTTGAAGGATGAAAAAAGAGTGGCCATTTCCTTAATTCCATTTCCATTATTTCCATACTAATGGAAAAGTTTAAAAACTATGTTTACTAATTGTGTAGTTCCTTGGAGAAAGAAAGGGTAGTAACAACATGTCAGTTCATTCCACTTTGTTTTCATTACCCTTCTGCTTTTCAAAGCCTTGTAATATTTGAATTGTTAATATATTGAAGGACTTAGAGCAGCTAACACATTGGAGATTTCTTTTTGGTTTTCAAAGAAGAGCTCACTTGGGTTTCCTTCGTTTGAGATAAGTGAGTGGGAAAGGTAGAAAAGAGAAACCAAATTACTAGTAACAAAAATGTTTTCTCCAATATTGTTTCAAAAGAAGAACTCATTTTAAAATCATGTGTTCTGTTTGTATTTGCCCTTTTCTCTTCAGCATTGTGCTTTTGCTGAGCCAGAAACAAGCACTGGAAGAACTCAAGCAAACAGTTCAGCAATTAAGATGCAGTGAGGCAAAATTTACAGCCCAGAAAGAACTTCTAGAACAAAAAGTTCAGGAGAATGATGGGAAAGAGCCACCTCCAGTGGTAACTTACGAAGAAGATGACAGATCAGTCACTTCTATGGTAAGTCCCCGTGCTTATATAACTTAAATCATACAACCGCTCATGCTATTGAATTTCTCGCTTTCAGTGTCAGAGGCCCGAATGCTCAGCAGAAAACATGATATAGTTGCAGGTAGGCAACTGAGAACTTGTCTCCACTTATGAGGAGATTGGTGCTGTGGAGATTGATCTCCCAGGGGTTGATTTTAATGGGTCTAGTAAGGACTAGGGATGTTAGGTAATGATAAATTGAATAGTTGTGTATCCGCACAAAATATTAGTTACACGAATTTTCGATAATCCCTGGGGCGGGGCCAGCACCTATTGTACTCCTGGGGAGCCCCTGTCACTATGCACTGTTGCCTCTCTATCAGAGGCAGCAGCGTGGGGTGGTTTGTGGGAGCTGGTCCATGAGGGTTGCAGCACCCCTTGCCACAAGGCAGGTTCCAGATGATGCTATCTGCAAATGGATGGAAAAGGTCCACATATTAGAATGTCACACTCATGGATTTGTGTAATTGGCACAGGCAGGCCTACATCTCAGTTCTTTCCTACTGAGAACTCCACAAGATGGGTAGGAAGGTGGATAATTTGGTGTTCACTCCAAGAACTTTTTCATGTATTGTCACCTGCATCTGGTTTTGTTATGAGCAAGTGATACTGCTTGTGAGTCTTGTAGAATAGAATAGATATGAGCAAGCCCCTGAAGAAAAAAAATGTTACCTCTCTTTGCATAACGGTTGTTCTTCGAGATGCTTTGCTTATATCCACTTTCCTACCCATCTGTTGGAGTTTTCAGCAGAAAAAAAACTGAGGTATAGGCCTGCCTGTGCCTGATACACAAGTGTGATATTCTACACGGTGTAACTGTTGACCCTATTGGTGTTGCTAAGACAAAAATGTCCCAACACATATACCTAGAATGGAATAGACATGAGCAACACATCTCATAGAATAAGAATGTAAGAATGGCCATACTGGGTCAGACCAAAGGTCCATCTAGCTCAGTATCCTGTCTGCCGACAGTGGCCAATACCAGATGCCCCAGAGGGACGGAATACAGTAGGTAATCCTTGCGTGATCCCTCCCTTGTCACCCACCCTCCAGAGAAACAGAGGCCAGGGATACCATTCCTACCCATCCTGGCTAATAGCCGTTGATGGACCTAACCTCCATAAATCTATCTAGCTCTTTTTTGAACCCTGTTAAAGTCCTAGTCTTCACTTCATTCTCTGGCAAGGAGTTTCACAGGTTGACTGTGTGCTGAGTGAAGAAAAACTTCCTTTTGTTTGTTTTAAACCTACTGCCTATTAATTTCATGTGGTGACCCCTAGTTCTTTTATTATGGGAATAAGTAAATAACTTTTCCTTATTTACTTTTTCCATACCAGTCATGATTTTGTAGACCTCAATTATATCGCCTCTTAGTCTCCTCTTTTCTAAGGTGAAAAGTCCAAGTCTTTTTAATCTCTCTTCATATGGGACCCATTCCAAACCCCTAATAATTTTTGTTGCCCTTTTCTGAATCTTTGCCAATGCTAATATATCTTTTTTGAGATGAGACCACCACATCTGTCTCATTTAAGATGTGGGCGTACTATGGTTTTATACAGAGGCAATATGATATTTTCTGTTTTATTCTCTATCCCTTTTTAAATGATCCCTAACATTCTGTTTGCACATTGAGTGGATATTAGAGAACTGTCCACAATGACTCCAAGGTCTTTCTCTTAAGTAGTTGTAGCCAAACTAGTCCTCATCATATTGTATATATAATTGGGATTATTTTTTTCCAATGTGCATTATTTTACATTTATCAGCATTACATTTCGTTTGCTATTTTGTTGCTCAGTCACTTAGTTTGGTGAGATCTTTTTGAAGCTCTTCACAGTCTGCTTTGGTCTTAACTATCTTGAGCAGCTTGGTATCATCTTCAAATTTTGCCAGCTCACTGTTTACCTTTTCCTCTAGATCATTTATAAATAATTTGAATAGGGTGGGTCTCAGGACAGACCCTTGGGGGACCCCACTAGTTACCTCTCTCCACTCTGAAAACCTACCATTTATTCCTACCCATTGTTTCCTGTCTTTTAACCAGTTATCAACCCATGAAATGATCTTCCCTCGTACCCCATGACAACTTACTTTACTTAAGAGCCTTTGGTGAGGGACCTTGTCACAGGCTTTCTGGAAATCTAAGTATGCTCTATCTACTGGATTCCCTTATCCATGTTTGTTGACCCTCTCAAAGAACTCTAGCATATTAGTAACAATGATTTCCCTTTACAGATAATACAGATAATAGTTATCAAAAGTAGGTAACCATTTTTTTTAGTTTTGAATCAAATAAATAGATTGTTTGAATAACAAGCTAAATTCTGCTGAGCAAACTTCAGTAATGAGCCTTGGTTTCCTTAGGATGAGCTGGTGAAGTATGTTAGTGTAGATATAAAATTAGCATAAAAATACTGAAGAATGAGTTTAAAATAATTTACTTTAATTTCTGATCTTTCTGTTTGAAACCTATATTCACAGACCCCTATTCCTTTGCAATATGTTTGCTAAGCTCTTACATGCTCTTTACATTTAAAATTAACTTTTTATATTGTATCAGAGAACCTGGGGTATAATTTAGATGTGCATAAGTCAAGTAAGATAATTTGTCTTCCGATAGAGGAAAAAAATCCACTTGGGCTAAATTTTGGAAAATCTCATACAATGTTAAGAACCATGATTATATTTGATGAGCAGTGTTCCCTCAAGTCTCTTCCATCCATTTTCAGATTTATTCCATGTATTAAATTCATTTCTTATACGCACCAAGGCATGTGTGAATGTGTACCATCAGTAGAAACAGAACAACATAGTTGTGGGAACTCTGCTAATCAGTTGGGCAATAATATTGGTTCTGCAAAGCTTAAGTGTTGCAAAAGGGCATTAGCACTTAGGTTTGCTTTGATGGATTTGTGTTTGCACTCATGGAAGTTGGCTGTGAATTTTTTAATGTTGAGTTTCAAGATGTCATTTACTCTTCATAGTATGGCAGCAGTGCAGCAAAATGACACGTGATCTAATGAGTTCTCTTGATTCTGAATACTAGCTCCCTTCCCTTCTTCCTTTCTGGTCCTCCCTTATAGCGTTTCAGTATTGCCTCTTCCTTCTATTGTGTATTATTTACGCAGCATCAAAGATGTAGATGATGTTTGACAAATGAGCAGATATGGATCTGTCCTAAGAAGCTTACATGTAAATTAGATATGCCAACAAATATCCAAAAAAAAAAAAAAAAAAAAGAAGGGAGAAAGAGGGAGGACTAGAATATTGACAGAAAGAGATAAAAAAAAAATAGTCCCTTTGGAACAAACAGTCTTATTAATTCTTTCATATAATATAAGACAGGTAAATTAGGGGATGAATTCTTTTAAGGAATCAGTGGAGGTGAGTGATGGCAGACTGGCCTGGAGCGACACCGCCATCCTCTCCCCCAAGTTTCTAAAGCTTAGAATGTCTAGATCATGCATGCATGTGTGTGTTGATTGTATAGCATGTTGGCCATCTCAAAAAGTAAAGAAATTTTCATTTTTTTTCTTTTTGCTGAAACAAGAACACAATGACAGTTAATGGTAACTTTTTGATATGACTCCATTTTCATGAGTTACTATTCAAAAACAAGGATTAGAGTTAAAAGTTTGCATACATCAAATCTGTGTAATGATATTACTAATACAAGCAAACAGTATAAAATACAATAATAAACCATGGAAATGGTTTCTCATTTGATTTGTGTGAAATTTCATGTGCTCTAGACCCTCTGTAGCCTACAGGGTAGAAGATGTTTTGACATGTTTGCTGAATAGAGAGAGGCTTAAGCACATGCTCAAAAACTTTGTTGAATTTTGTGAGATTGTGGAAATAGGCTGAGTTGGAAACAAATTAAATGCATGCTCCTCCCCAGAAACTGTGGGGCAGACATGGGGATTCTATAAAGCTTTAATAGCTGCAGTTTTTACCTTCATCTCTGGAATGACAGCTACTCTGTGAGGTACCCCAAATATGTGTATCTGAAGCTCAAGTAGCTAGTCCTCGACTTGTTTGCTAAGGTGCTGTCTTATTTTGAGTCAACTTAGTGCTCTTTTCTTTAACACGTAGAGAGTGTGAAACTAGGGATGACAGGTAGACCCCGCCAAAAAAACGAACACACTTGGTTGTGGGCGGGGGTGGGGAGAAGAATGAGCCAGGAGGGGAGCGGGGCTGTCCAG